CAAAACGTGCATCAGGGCGCTGCTACACCCTGGCGGGGTGCTGCTGTTGGTCCTCCCCTGACGAGCACTCACAGATGCAAATAAATTCTGACTTGGGCTCCCAAATTCCTGCTCTGCTGGCTGTGCTAAAAATAGCCCAACGCAGTGCGTGCTGGCTTCAATCGCCCTCATCGATCCGCGCTCTTGGGTCTGCTCCAGCAGCGCACCCTTCCACAGCCTCCCCCGGACCCCTCCTCGCCCAAAGGATTTGTATGATGAGGCCACCTCCACCGCACTGTCCTCCACCCCTGCTGACCCTCTCTCCTGCAGATGAGGTGATTTATTGCTCCAGAGCCTGCCAGGCAGCCAGGCTGCAGCAGGAGCCTGGCCGGGGGGTGTTGCTGCTCCTGATTCCTGCAGAGCCCCATCCACCACGGGGATGAGTTTGGGGCTCTCGAGCAAGACCCAGCCGTGATTCAGGGAAGGGGTGATCTCAAAGTGGGGCAGAGGGAAGTTGGCTGGGGTTGCTGGGAGTGAGGGATCGTGAAGGAGCAGGAGCTGGCTGGGGCCCAGGGCCCTGCTCAGTCTCTGGCACTCCAGTGGCCCTGGAGACCTGGTTGGGGATGCATGGGCTGACCCATAAGCATCAGTGGGGCTGGAAGAGAGATGGCTCCAGTGGTGCTGGCAGCCCTAGGAGAGGTGCCAGCAAGCACTGCTGGTCACTGGCTTGATTTCAGCATAGCCAATGCAGTCCAGCTGTTGTCACAGTCTAGGTGGTGAGTGGGAGCACCTTCTTGCCTTAGGGCCTCCATGCATCCTTGCAGACCCCTCCCATGGGATCTGCACCTGCTTTCATAGGAGACTCAGCTGAAGCCATCAGGAGGCTCCAGTGCTGAGTGGAGGGTTGTTTCTGTCCTAATTTACAGGTTTTAAAATAATATCCATGCTCTAGATGTCACACAGACTTTGCAACATGTGGCAGGGTCCTTTGCTGGCTCTGGACCAGAGTGAGGATTGAGCTGTGGGTAATGTGGGCTTGGATTTATGCTCCAACAAGAAGCTATCCTACCTGGGATGATGGAGGAGGGATCAGAGGAAGGATTTTTAGTCCTGCCTTGGTTTTGCCCTTGAAGGCAGGTGGTTTAAACAACAGTAGTTTTGTGGATACTGAAAGGGCATCAGCAGAATGCATTTCCACATGGCCCCAGGGACTGCAGGAAACAGGGGACTCCTGGAGCAGGACTCCCATATAGTGGCTATAGGTGGTGGGCAGGCTCCCAGGATCAGGGCTGAGAGGGAGCAGTGGCAGGAGGAGGGGTCAAGGGATGGTGGTGGCAGCCACAGAGAGTGCAGAGCAGGTGCAGGCTACACAAGTGCCCAAAGAGCTCTGGGAGAGCAGAGGATGTGAAATGGTGGTGGGAACCTGAAATCCATGTCGGAGGACACCATCCTGTTGCACATCAGGTGTGTGAGTGTCCCTTCAATGTCCCCACAACTGGTGCCCATAACAGAGGAGGGTAGAGCTGTGCTTTCTGAGGTGGGTTTGGGTCTGCATGCCCTGTACACACCCCATGCCTGGCAGGGAGCCCAGGGTCTGTGGTACAGGAGTGCTTGTTCCCTTGGGGCTCATCAGGGACACCCTTGGAGAGGTGACAGTGGTGAGGAGGCAGCTCAGCGTGGCCATGGGCAGCTGCCTTCCGAGCTCTCCAGGAGCATTTACCAGGAGCAGACACAGCTCCCTCCACCCTCAGCCAGTGAGGAAATTTCTCAGAGAAGCAATGGGTGCCTCTGCTCCCTTTCTCTCTTTCAATGCCACAGGGAAACAACTGCTCACTCTTAAAAAACCTCTCTCTTGGAGCAGCTTTGCTTGATGCCATTGCTGACCTCTCCAGGGGCTGCTGCCTGCCCTGTGCCAGGCACAGGTGCTCCCACACCTCTGACCTGCACACCCCTCCATGCCTTTCATCCCTTTCCCTCCCTTCCTTTTCCCTTCCCTTTGTTCCAGTGTCAAAGCCCAGGCTGCTGAAGGAGTGGGATATGGGAACCTCCATAGGCAGTGCCTTTTAATGCTGGTTCCCAGTTTGCTCATCCCCACTGCCCCTTCAGGTGGGGCAAAATGAAGTAGAAACCTTTCCCTTGGCCTTCTCTTCTCCTCACTCTGATATTCCTTTCCCATGCCCCCTCCTTTCTGCTTGGCAGGGGGCCCTCTTGCTTTGGATGGGTTTGGGGTAGCAGGAACAGCCTGACTGGACAAGGCATCACTTCTCTTTGCAGAAGCAGCTTGAGATCTTTGGTGTTGGACAGGAGACAAAATAACAACGAAAAGCACACAGTGGTCACAAGTTGGTAAACTTCCCCCTCTGCCCTTGGAGGGGTCTGTAAAGTGACTGCCTCAGAAGGGATGGAGGGTGCTGTGGACAGAGCTCACCAGGCCCTGTGCAGAGGCACTCCTGGAGTTCCGTGGATGGGGTGGTGACTTTGGGAACAGTGAGACCTCTTTTATTTTCTTGTCTGGCTCTTTTCACAGCTCAGTTTATGGCATCTTCTGCCGAGGGATGTGGACCATGGTTGCCAGTACTGCACCCTGTTTTGGAGGGAGAGCAAGGAGGCTGGAAGGTGCTCACCAGCACAGCCCTTGGTTCATCACCCCAGAAGCCACCTGGAGACCTGTGATGAGGCCCCCCCAACAATGGGGTACAGGGTGATGAATGTCCTGGTACCTCCTTTGGAGACACCTTGGAGATAGAGGTGCCTTGACTTTTTCTAACCCTACTTTTTTCAGGCAGTTTGCATGTGGGAAGTGTTTAATTTAGAAAGGCCAGTGCTGCTGTATCACATTCCCATGTCAGTCTCTGTTGGTTTATGACCAGTGAAATCCTGGTGTGAAAACAGAATCAGCCTTTGATTTCAACTGCTCCTGCTGTTTTATGCCACTAACAACTTTGCATTTCGATAGCAGCTTTTATTCTAGGAGCTAAACGGGCTTCACAGACAGGCAATTAATTAATTGAGCCTCCCCAGCCAGCCTACGCCCTCAACACCACAAGGAAGCATTTTGCAGAGGAGGAAACAGAGGCAGGGGAGCAAAATGGATCGCCCCAGGTAAAGAGCTGAGCTGGCTGCTGCCTCCACAGTGAGGCATCACACTCCACTGGTGTGGGAATGGTCTCAGTGAGGGGAGAGACTGAGGAAGGTCTTTGGGTTTTCTTTAGTGACTGTCAACATTGACACCTGAGCCCAAATTAACTCATGAACTGCCACCACCTTGGACCACCCCAGCCTCTTGCTGAGGAATCTCCTGAGACCACGAAACAGTGCCAGGAGGCCCCACTAGTGTTTCCATTATCCATCCTTGCTGAACAATTCCCATTTCTCCAAGATGTGAGCCCTGGATGGGGCCTTGAGCAACTTGATTTAATGGATGGCATCGCTGCCCATGGCCAAGGGTTGGAACTAGATGATTTTTAAGTTCCCTTTCAACCCAAACCATTCTATGGTTCTATGAGGAGGCACTCAGGGTTTGCAAGGGAAGGCTGTCTCAGCTGAAGGGTTTGCTTTGGTCCAGGTGCTACAACTGAGATTTGGGGAAGGACTTGCCATGATGGTACTAAACAAGAGATGGGTGATCCTCAGTTCCCCTCTCCAGGCCCTGCTCACTGCCTGGTAAGCAAGACAGCTCTGGGAGGCTGCATGCTGTGGGCAGTATCTGGGGCACCTGGAGGAGGTGGAGGAATGTGCCTTTGCATAGGCAGAGCAAATCTGTTCCAGGGTAAATTGCCTACCTTTTATTATAAAATCCTGCTAATGGTTTGTTGTCTACACAAATAACCATGGGGAATGAACTCATGCACTTCCCAGCCTGCTCTGTGTCTTCCTGGCTCAGCTCCTTTCTGAACAAACATAACCTTTTGCAAGACTACCTGTCAAAATCGCTTTGAAATATTGAAATAACAGGATGGGATATGGTTTGCTCCTGGGCCCTAGTGCTCATCTGTCAGGACTCAGGATGTCCATCCAAAGAGACTTGTGAGCAGGATGTAAGGGAAAAACTCTGGCAAGCAGCAGGGCCTCACAGGGCAGCATTTGGGGAGCTTATCACCTCCCTATGCTGGGCTCTCACACATTCACCTGGGAGCAGAGCAGTTCCCGGACCCTTGTGAAGCCCCCACTTTGTGTCGGTCATGGGGTAGGTGAGATGTGGGGACCTGTGACTCAGCTGGAGCTGATCAGGGCAAAACTGCATCCTTTGGCCACCAGGGTGGCCTGGGAGTGCCTTCATGGCCTCAACACCTCCCTTTTTTTCCTCACCCCATGAGCAGGGCATCATTTGTGAGTATTATAGAGATGGGGCAAAAAGCTTGGACCAGCACTGGAGAGAAATGGTTGAGGGGCATGTATCTGCTTGGGTGGACCTGAGACAGAGGCACAGAGCCTTTCAGTCTCAGAATTCCAAGGGCTGGCCAGGGGTGTTTCAGTATGGGCAAGCTGTAAATGCTCAATGTTTTCTCCCTCAGCAAAATCACCCTCAATAATGTCTTTCAACAGAGCGCAGCAAGAGGCTTTCTCCTCTAATTCATTGCCATCTCCCCATCTTGAAAGGGAGGGGATAACCCCCCACTCAGTGGCTGATCCTGAGGGCCACCACACCCCAGATACATCTGTTTAAGGGGAGAGACCTTTTAATTTGCAGGAGCAACTCCATTGCATGGTGGCACCTGCTCAACCAAAAGCCCTTAACTTCTTATCCCCTTCCCAGTTCCTGGTGGGGATTGTCTCCCACCTGGAATAAGGTGAGGGATTCTGCTTTTCTGGGTACGTGCCTATTTTTTTCAGTGTACTTGGAAGTGATGAGGACTCAGACACAGACAAAAAGAAATCAAAACCAGACACTTAGAAATCCAAACACTCACCCCCCCCACTCCACAAAATATCCCATCAACCAACCAACCAACAAAAAAGTCCTTCAAACAAAACTCCATCTCTTTCTCTAAAATCCATGATTAAAACCTGGTACAAAGAGGTGAATATAGATATATATATTTTTAGTAGATGTAGTATTGTTTTTTTTTCTCCTCTCTCTTTCTCATTATACAGCAAACATTGCAAATATAGAAATTTTCTCTGTACAATTAACGACTTCGGTTTACAATGCGATGTGTGGTAAAACCTTTCAGTGAGTGAAAATGTGAACGGGCCTTCAACTGGGTAAAAGTCTAAACTGGAAGACTCCGTTTGCAAAAACAGCCCAAAAGATGGAGCTCCTTCTGGTCTCTTTTTTGGTTTTTGTTGCTGTTTTTGACACTGTTGATTTTGGAAAGGAAGGAAGAACACAAACTGTTCACAAAGAATCCACAAAATCACGGAATAGGGACTCATGCAATGCAATATTGGGAAACGCCAGACCTCAGCTCTCTGCCCGCTCTTTCATTTTCATTTTATATTCAATTTTTTCTTTTTTTCTCATTTTTTTTTAAAAAAATCAAAATGAAACAAAACTTTTTTTTTTCTTTCACTCCACAGTTTGTTTGTTCTGCAAAGTTCGTGTTCAAATTTGGTGCGTCTCACCAACGTGAGGACATTTTAATATCTCACTTTATATATTATATAGAATATTTATAGATTTTTCATAATTTGTTCTCTCTTTTATTTTTATTTATTTTTTTTTATTTATTTATTTTTTTATTTTATTTTGTTTCAAAGACAGTCTGAATAAAAATAGCTGCTGCGGATTTCTTTTGGTCCAGTTAGTGTGTTAAGTCATGAGCTATGTGAGGACTCAGGACTTTTGCTGGGCAGAGACGCCCTTCCAGTAGTCTAAGATGTCGTGGAGATCCTCGTCTTTGGCAAACTGGACCTTTTTGCGTAGGGCATGGCCGGCTGCCATATATTCCTCCTCGTCTTTGTGCCGCTTGCGGTTGAGTTTGAAGCGCTCCCAGATGCTGTGCGATGGTTTGCAGGTGTACTCTGGGCTGGAGGTGTAGCTCAGGTTGTGGTACTGAGGCGAGAGCTGGGAATAGGCCAGGTCTCTGGGGCGAGGGCGGGTCAGAGGCTCCAGGATGGAGGGCTTTCTGCCCCCCATGCTGTCGTGCTGCTCCCCTTGGTGCGAGCTGGGGTACGAGTGCCGGTGTTCGCTGTACTGGCGGATCTTCTCCGCCTCTGCCCGCAGGATGGCCGCGGCCGGTGTCACAGTGAGGATGGTGTCGGTGGTGGGGGATGTCTTCTCGATGTATTTGGCTTCTGATTTGTGGCCCGATCCCTCGGAGCGGTAAGACCTGGGGCTCCGTATGGAGCCACTGGAAGAGGTGCTGGAGCGCTTGGGGGCCGCCTCCATGCTGTGGTGCCTCTGGAGAGGGTGGTTGTAGCTTTCCTTGTAGACAGGGGAAAGGAATCCATGTTTGCTGGGGATCTGCTCTGATAAGAGCACCAGCTGAGGCTCCACCGTGGAGACTGCCCCTGATTTCACCCCTTGGAAGGAGGTGGACTCAGATTTCAAGGCATCGATGCAGTTGTTGATGATCTGGTTCACCTTGTCCACCTCCTTGGCAATGGTGGAGATCTCAGCCACAGAGCCCTGGGAGTCGGGCGGCAGGGACAGCTCACAGTCTCGCCTCTCGGGCTGCTCGCCTGTCCTCACCTCCATGTAGTTGCCCTTGGTGGCCTTGGGGGTCTCGCTGCTGTCAATCAGCTTGTACTGCTCAACCTCGCCAGCAGAAGGTAGGTAGGGGATGCGGGTCACTGTCTCCCCGCCCAGGATCTGTCCCTGGGACAGCTGGGTGATGCTGGTGGTCTCCATTTCTGGCCCATATTTCAGCTCGATGATGGTCTTCTTCATGCTGCCAGCAGCCTTTTTGTGCTTCTCCTCCTGCTGGCGCCTCTTCCGGAGGCAGTAATACACGACGCCCAGGACAATCACCATGCCGAAGAGACAGCCCAGGATTGTCATGATGTAATGGGTGGCAGTGGAAGGGGTGGGCACCGACTCCTTGCGGTTGGGTCTGGTGGGCGTGATGGTGACGCAGGTGTGGTTGTACTTGGAGTATTGGTGGACAGAGACTACGCAGTAGGTGTAATCTCTTTGTGCTACTAGGTTGCTCACGGTGATGTTCTCCTCCTTCTTCCTGAGCTTGGTGATCATGGAGGAGAAGCCGTTTTCGAACTGGGAGAGGATGTACATCTTGCTGAAGGGGTAGGGGATCTGCACGGTGAGGACGGCCGAGTTGTGGTTGAGGTGCTTCACCTGGATGTTGGGGCGCACCTCTGTTTCACCGATGGGCGTGAAGAGGGAGAACTGCGGCGTCGTGCCGTCGCCGGAGGAGCACTCCTCCTCAGAGCAGGGGCTTTCGGAGGGCACCGTGGTCACCTGGTACCTGGGAGGGATAAAACGAGGGATCACAGTGTAGGAGCCACCAGTGCAAAGGGACGAGAGCATGCTCAGAGCATTGCGGTAACCAGTCCTGCCTTGGCCTAACAAGTAGTAGCCCATGTAGTCGGGCGGGGAGTCGCACTGCATCCGGTCATAGGTGCGTGTCATGTTGGTGAAAGCCTCCAGCCATTGCAGGAAGCCGAGGAGCTCACAGGAGCAGTAGAAGGGGTTACTGTAGAGTTCACAGACAGAGAGCTTGTTTAGGCCCCGAAAAGTGTTGCTGTCGAGTCTCTGGATCCTGTTCATGGACAGGTCAATGTTCACTATGTTGGGGCACTCCCAGAAGGCATTGGGGGTGACGGTCTCGATGAGGTTGGCCTGGAGATAGAGGTACTCCAGCTTCCCCAGGCCCCGGAGGATGCCCTCGGTGAGGTTCCTCAGTCGGTTGTAACCCAGCTGCAGCACCTGGAGGTTGAACTGTCCTGAAAAGGCACCGTCCTCGATGTAGGAGATCTCGTTCTTCGTCAGGTTGAGGTATGTCAGGTTGCCAAAGCGGCTGAGCGAGGCGTACTGCACGCTCTTGATCTTGTTGTCGTTCAGCCGCAAGTCCACGATGGTGCTGTTGATTTGCTGGGGGATGGACTCGTAGGGGGGCTGGTTTTGGCTGCAGATGGCCAACCAGACGAAGCCCTTGTCCCCCTCGATGAGCCAGCAGTCTGCCCGCACCCCGCCGGCGTGCAGGAGAGAGACGGCCGCCACGTACATGCAGAGGGCTGACGTCGCGGCCCACCGGCGACCTGCCATCTGGAAGGGCAGCACGGAGAGGGGGCTCCTGGTCTGTTGGAAGCAGGGAACAGGACAGGGGCTGGGAAGACGTGGGCTAGTGCTTCTTCGGCAGCTTTGCTCGCCTCTCCCTTCTCCTCATGGCTTGGAGACGGGAGGGAGGTGTCTGTGGAGAAAGCTGACCTCGGTGCCCACGGTACTCGGCAGCCACCAGCCAGGGGCTGCTACCAAGGCCTGGGTGGCTGAGGCTGGTCCCACATCACCAGGTCTCTGGCATCTCGAGGAGGGAGTCATGAAGTGCGGAGGAGTCCCTCTGGCTCAGAGACAAGCCTTCCTCTCACTTTTTATAGTACATCTCCTCGTTTTCTTTTTGCTGCCCATCGCGGCGCTGGTCCCCATCTCCATGTGCCTCCGTGGGTTTGGCTTCCCCTGCTCAGTCCCTCGGCTCACCTGCTCGAAACAAAACACAAGCACAAACTAAACACAAAGAAAAGACAGCATTCAGAGGAGCTGGGATGCATCCAACTACTCTCCTAAAGTTAGGCACTTGCCTTCTCACTCTGGCTACCATCTTTCAAGGAGCCTTTTGTTTATTTGGCTGCCACTGGTGGCACTTGGCAGTACAAGGGGAGATGGTCACTGACCACCTCTGAGCCCCTGTCTAGCATCACATTTGAGGCAGTTGAGAGACCAACACACATCCAGCGTGCTGTTAATCTGACCTATTTAGGTGTCTACCTTACAAGGAGAGGAGTGATGCCCCAGAAGTGTCTGTTCCTCTCCACTGAGAGCAGATGAAGTCTAGACAAGTCGCTCTGATGTAGATTTGATGCTGCAGCGTTTTGCTGAGGGGAATCCTGACTGTCTCGCGTGCTGGTGTGCGCAGCAGCAGTGCCCACAGAAGGAGGTGCTGGTTGAGGACACCGTCTCTCTCTGCCTGCACTGCTGGGTGGCATCTGGGATAAAGCCCAGCACTAAGCACTTGTCCTGCTTCTGGGAACCTGAGCAGCAGTTTCAGGGCACTCTTTGCAAAACACACTGGTATGATTGTGAACTATCCAGTGTCCTTGCTCCTGGTTGGGGCTTTCTGCCTTTCTCCAAGACCTCTTTCCTCCTCCGAGGTGAAATGATGCAGAGACATGGAAAACCTGAAAATCATGTGAGGATGATTGTCATGAGGCATTTAAAGGAAGGTGCCACACTCTTGCCCATGTCCAGAAGAAACTAGGTTCTTTTCCAGCCACAATACCAGGCAGCAGAGCAGACCATGTTTCACTGCAGAGATCCCTGTTCACCACTCAGTTTATACCTTGGTGAACAGACCAGTAATAATAAGCAGTAAAACAGTTTATTTGTTCTTTCTGGATTGTGAACAATGAGTCTGTTCCCTGGTGGCACAGTTGGGTTTCCATTTCATGAATAACAAGACCTTCTCTCACGTCAGCTCTTTGCACAGGAGACTTTCCAGCCACCTTGTCCTCCACGTGCTGTCACTGCCCTGGGACGCTTCACCAGTACCTGGAAACCCATTTTGGCAGAGCTGAGTCCTTGGAGCCAGTGAGGAAGGGAAGAGGGAGGCTCTCAGGGCTCCCTGGGAGACCGCAGGTGAGTGCCCCCCCTTACCACCTCCCCAGCCAACAGCAAGACAGGGGCTGCAGTGCCAGACTGAAACACGTCTGCTGCTACATCCCTCCTGGTGTTGGACAACTCAATTAACCTCTCTGCACTCCAGTCTCCTCTCTGGTTCCATGAGATAATGATAGCATTTCACAGGGTGGTGGGAGTCTGAGGCAAAGTGCCCTGAGCTCCTCTTGTTGGGATGAAGATCCCAGCACAAGCGCTGTGCTGCAGGTGGCGACTTTCCCTCTAGATGTGCCTGCTCTTCTCTGCCACAGGAACCAGCCTGATCTCGAGCTCCCCCTGCATCCTGTGAGGGTGCACACTGCCCCTGAGGGTGTGTGAGGAGGGTATTGCCTGCAGAGCCGTAAGCAATGGCTTGCCCCAGTTGTCACTTTGTGTGGCACAGAGGGTGCTTTCCTTGCCCTTGGTGCATGCATCTCCCTGTCCTCCTCCATGGGCCTGTAGATTCCAAGGACCCCTGCAGGCAACAGAAGCACTGCCAAACTGGGCAGCAGGGATGGATGCATCTTGGCATATTCTCTTCAGCAAGTACTTATTCTGTCTCCTCTAGCTCCCATTGTGACCCAGCCATCTTCTCGGGGCAAACTTGTGTTTGGGAAAGCTCTGCAGAGCCAAACCAGCCTTTTCCTTGCAGAGGAAAGTTCGTGTCACTCCACCCTGGGGAGGCTGTGGGCAGCAGCCTTTGTCACAGGACATTAGATAATGGAGTGGTACCATCTGTGAGCAAAGAGCAGAGACAGACCCTCCACAGATCTTGCCAGGCTGATCCCCTACAGCCTTCCCCTATAGGGGAGGCACTCGTGCCTCCCCCATCTAATTGGAGGTGCTGGGAATGAAGAAGAGCAACAGTAAATGACTCAAACACATTCAATAAGGCTCCTGATATGTGTTTTCTTTCCCATATGTTGCCTATCAGATGAGTCCTTTCTGACAACAGAAAGGAGAAAAGGAATTTTATCAGCAGCCCAAGTTTAATTTCAGCTCATTAAAGCAAGCAATTTGCTGGTTTATTTGCTTTGCAAAGTGTGAATAAAATGACAGCATTAAGGAGATGTGAGAGAGGAAAGAGGGGCTAATCTCCCTTTTTATTAGACTGCCAGGACATGACTGGGGAGTGGAGAAGTGGGTCTTGTTGCTTTGCACGGAAGACAAAGTTGTTCATTTTGTTGGCTTCTGAGAGCCCCGTTCCCAGCACCGTGGTGTGTGTGGGTGTGTTCCTGAGCGTGTGTGCTGCGACATCAGCCAAGCACTGAGCATCCCGCGAGGCAGGACGGAACAGGGGCAACTCACCGTGGTTCCCCACTCATCTCCCTGTAACAGCAGACAACAGACATCAAGGAGGTGTCTCCTTCTTCCCTTTTCTACCTTTTACCTCACCTCTAATCTCTCTTGCCTGTTTGTTTCTGCTCCTGAAATCCCAGGCTTGATTCTGGCTGGTTAAAACAGGGCAGCCGGTTGGCTGAGGAGCCTTTGCTTTCCCTGACCTCCTGTAGCTGGGACATGGCTCTGAAGAGCAGGGGAGAGATCCTCATGCCTCTTCCCAACAGACTGGATAAAAATCAGTAAGAAAATCCAGTTGTTTAACCCTCCTGCCTGCCTTACTGTCTTCACCCATCTGTCCTGGGTTTATTCTCCAGGTAACCCAACTGCACATCACTTTTCCCAGTCCTCTGACCCTCCACAGTGCTGCTTAGGAAAACCTGAGAACAAGCCACCTACAACTCTCACATGAAAAACAGCAAGGAAAGTGGAGATTTGGGGGTCTCCTTCACTATTTGAGAAAGAAGCAAAAGAGAAGAATGAAGACAGTGTGGAATAACAATTATTTAAAATGATGGATTTCATCTCAATTAGAGATTAAATCCATCCTGAACTGTGGCACCACAACAACGATGACAATAGGCCACACCTGTGGCAACACCATGGTACCCACATTCCTGCACAGTTACCTGTGCCCTGAAGAACTGGCTGTGTTTCACTTTCCTTCTGCTCTCAGAAGGCAGAATGGCTTGACCAGCTGAGTTTATGTGTCTGACAGAGGCCAGCAAAGGGGCACTGGCAACTCCCTCACTCCTTGTTGCTCCTGCACATTGCCTCTGATATCCAGTATCCCTGTTGGAGCCCAGATCCATGTTTCTCCATGCTGATCCTCAGCCCTGACTGTAATACACTGTCCCCCTACCCATTCCTGCTTCTCCAGCCCTGATCCCTGTCAACAACCCAGTGGCAAAGAGGGACTGCTGGGATTTTGTGATGCCCATGAGTCTGCAGCCTGCACTGGATGAGCTGCAGCATCCTCATCCTGGCTGAAAACCCACAAGGGTGGTGGAAGAGAGGTGGAAAGGAAAAGGCAAAGCTGGAGCTCCAAAAACCAGTGCGGGCTGGCTGGGAACTTTTTACTTCCATTTCCCGACTAATGGCATCTTGGAAAATTAAACCAGAGCAGCAGCTGCAAGGAGGCAAACAAAGCAGCCGTGGGGGGTGGGGAGGGAGAGGGAGAGTGAGCTGGCACTCAGTTCCTAATTTTGTTATTCTACTGAATGAGTTATTTCAAACTGTGGATTACATTTACTGAGGGAAGGCAAGGAGCCAGATTAACATGCGTGTGTGTGTGTATACACACATACACTCACCAGTGCTCCTCTCCTTGGCATTCCTGCACCTCCAGAACTTTCTTTTCCCTAGCTGCTCCATCTCCAGCTTCTCTTAGACCCTGTCACAGACACCTGGGCTGTTTTATCAAAAAAATGAAGGATCCCCATTACAGTGAGAGCCATAGGAAAACGGGAGTGGTACATCACAAATGATAAATATTCAGCCACCCAAAAAGTGCAGAGGGAAAATTCAGCTAACAGGCACCAAATTTTACAATGAACCTTAGCTCTTCATTCTGCATCAGAGAAGGTGAGGAGGCAGCTCTAAGATGGCAGATAAAACATTTATTAGTGATGAAATCACTCCTAATGGCTAATGTCCATCCTGTATATGCCAGGTGGGGAAAGGAGGCATCCAGGCAGGTTTTTCTCATCAGTAATATTCCTGGTGTTTAATCCATCACCTCCTGCCAGGTGCTGTTGGTCAGAATCACAACCACTCTGAATAATAAAGAAGCTCAGGCATGTAAAATTCAAGTTCATTTTATATCCAGAGCTCCTGATATTAATATTACCTCCTCTGACAGGGTTTAGGCAGCATTTTGTGCATCCCAACCTTATTCCCAAATGTGTTAGATAATAGAGTTCTCCAGTCAATTCTACTCTCTCTCCTGCTATTATTTATTATTTAAGAAAAACAGGCAAGGGAGAAGAGATATGTTTTCCACTGAGGTTTGAAGAGAGATGAAGAAGGAATGAAGCAGAGAGGTAAAGGGGGGGCTGAGGGACAAGTGCCCAGCATCACATAAAGGATAGCTTTTACTGAGACTTTGGGAGGTCACAGACTGTATGACAAGTATCCAAATGGGAGGGATGGTGAAGAGGTAACTTTTCTGGGAGACACTGGGAGAAACAAAGAGAAATTACAAGCTTGGTCTCTATATAGGGGCATTATTAGTACCAGCACATAAACACTCATGGGCTCTCTATGGTGCTGGGAACAATCTCTCCTTAGGTTGTTCCTATCCAGCAAAAAGTTATTCTGGTGTAAAACACACTTTCTGAAAAATTAAACCCTGGGTGGAAAAGCTGTGATCTTTATTTGAAGTTGATATTCAGGCCAGTTTACTGTAACAGTAAACGTGGGTGCTGCAATGTCTGAGAGGAACCCTAGTTCTGAGCCATCGTGCCTCTACCAGCCAGGCTGAGGCCAGA